CCAGAGCTCTGTTTTTGTTTTTTACACAGACCAAATAGGCAAGTTGTGTGGGAATCACCACCCCTGCATCCTTCAGGTCCTTGATGGTGGCATAGTCTCTGCAGTCCCTCCAGGGATGTAGTATGGCTTTGGTTTAATATTTTGCTAGGTAGGGTCTGTTCTAATGGGTTCCACTTGGCCTTTCCTGCCATAGTAGCCCTTACTCCCCATCTCAGGGATCCAATGTGAGGGTTCTGCCAGTTGCTGAATATGTCTATTCCAGTTATGCATTCTGGAACTGGAGAAATCACTACAGGATTGGTTCAGAGACCCACTGTGAGGTGAAACTGAACTAAGAGTCCATTAATAACCGGACCTCCATATGCCACCATTCTGTACAGTTGACCAAAGTAATGTTTTGGGTCTTGGATTAATGTCAGTTCAGAGCCAGTCTCCAGTAATCCCATAAATACGTGATTATTTCTTTTCCCTAGTGAACAATTACTCTTGTAAAAGGCTGTAGATCTCTTTGGGGAATGCTGGGAGAAAGATTAATGGTATAAATTTTTGGCAGTCAGTAGGGATCTTTTTCAAGCAGACCCAGTCTCCCTTCCATTGAAGGGGTTGTAGGTCTATGAAGTGGACCAAGTTTGGGCATTGTTTGAAGGGCCATGAATGCAGGTGATTTGAGTTAGACTATCCTTCACTTGACCTGGAATTCTTCCTTTTATACAGATCAAGTAAATATCTAGTAGATTTTCCATCTATTTCTCTTCTATTTGGACACCATGACTAAGTATCCAATGCCATAACCGTCTGATGCTCTAAGTCCATATGAGTCAGACTGTTCTACTGCATTGATTCTGCTTCCATTATGATAACCATGGCCACCTTGTCTTTGAAGATTAAGTGCTGCCACTTGGCTCCTGCCACTTCAGGGACCAATCAAACCTATTGAAATTAGCTGTCTTAATTCACTTAGGGGAGTTCTCACTGTTAATATGACTTAGATAAAATGGTAATCACAGCAGCCTTCAAGGATGCTGGCCTTCCTTCACAAATTTGTTCTTCACCTTGTGATAAAAGATGTGTCCTTTGGGCTTTCCGTGTATGGGTCTGTGAGTCTAATCTGATAAATCCATTCTAACATGTCAATTTCCCTAAGCCTTTGGATACCTTCTTCTACAGTATACCAAGGCAGTTCTGGCATTTCAGCTTGATTTAGTGTAGGTTACCGCTTAATCCTTGCTTCAGTGAACCAACCAAATAAATTATTAGATAATTTTCTAACCTCTCAAGCTGAATCATTGAATGAAGAATCTGTGCTTAGTGAGCCCATATCAATAAACTTAGGCTGATTCAACTTTATGTTTCTTGCACCATTATCCAACACCCTTAATAGCCATCCCCACACACATTCCTCAGGTTTCTGTTTGTATGTATTAGAAAAATCAAGCAGATCTTTTGGAACGTAGTATAGCTCCTTGTGGTGTACACTTTATACTTCACCTCTTGGGGCTGACCTATAGGTTAGAAGCAAAAATATGTGGTGGGGATGGGTCCTGGGGACATTCAGCAATGTCTAATGACTGCCTCAGGCATTGCCACAGGTGCTTCCCCAGGATATACCTCAGACCAACTCTTAAGGTAAAGCTGGGTTAGTCTCATCTGATGGGGTAGAAGGGATAATGGTTTTACTGGGGAGGGGACTTAGCAGACAAAGATGGAGTAATCTCTTCAGGTGGGACTAAGAGGGTTGATTCTGTTGGCAAGAGTGAGTCAACAGAATTTAGGGACCCAGTGTCCCCCATATCCTGATTGTCTGCCCGTATCCCATCCCCAGTTTCAGGATCCCGTTTCTTCCCAGTCAGTGCCCTCACTTTAACTTCAGACACCGTTCAAGTTTGGGAATTCAGTTGGTGTTATCATTCAGGCAAACGTATAAGACGACTCTGGGCTCGGTTTTCAGCAATATCAGCTCTATTACTACAAAAACTAAGGCTTTCTTTTAGGACACAGGTGGTAGCTATCAGGTCTTTTATGCAGTGCTTAAACTGTGACTCTGAAGTCCTGAGCTCATCTCTTTCTTTCACCACTTTGTCTGGCAAAAGCAAGACCAACAAACCAGCCTCCCTGTACTTACCAGTTTGACGGAAATGCTGAAAAGCATCAAATATAAAATCATCCAGAGCCTCTCACAAATATTTGATCCAGGAGAGGTATATTTTACATACTTCTACTGCCACCTCATACCATAGATTAGCAGTGCCCTCTTCCTTACTAGAATTAGAGTCACCAGTGTGTTTAAGTCTAGCCAGACTTAAGAACCAATTCTGAAAACTAATCCTTAAGATTTTTCCCTCTAGAACCACTCTAAGTACCAAATGTCTTATGCTATACTCTCTAGAGGAACAAAATAGTAAAGCAGAGAAAGAGAGATTTATTTCAAGGAAATAGCTCACACAGTTAATGGAGGTTGGCAAATTCTAAATCCATAGGTCAAGCATCAGAGTGGAGGCTTCTCCTGACTCATGTGGTTGCAGGGGCCAGTGAACCCAAAATCAGCAGGTCAGGTGGAAGGCTGCTGGCTCACAGAGTTGTAGGAGCTGGCAAATTCCAAGATATGCAGGTAAAGCAGCAGACTGCTGACTCATGTCCCAAGACTCGGAGGTCCGATTTAGGATTGAGCAGGCATGATCTTTGCCAGAATGTCCTGTATTTTTTGGATGCAGGCCACACCCTAAGAAACTCTCCTTGTATCAGATCCCAAAATTAAGGATAATTACATAATTCCGAGAATCATAGCCAGCCAGGTGGACACATACATAACATTAACCATCACAGGTATCTAAATGATTAGTTTTCTTTTGGTAAAATGTGTGAGGTGATGTTGTTAGGTGCCATTGAGTCCATTTTTGACTCATAGCCCATGTGACAGAGAACTGCTCTATTTAGAGAGCTTTCTAGGCTGTAATCTTTATGCTATGTCTTTTTCTCACATGGCTGCTGGTTGGGTTTGAACCACCAGCCTTTAGGTTGGCATCTGAGCTCTTAACCTTATACCACCAGGGCTCCATGAGGTGGTATTAACCAAAAACCCAAACTCATTGCCATTGTGTCAATTCCAATTTATAGTGACCCCCATTGGGTTTCCAAGGCTGTAAATCTTTTTGGAAGCAGACTGCCTCGTCTTTCTTCTGTGGAGTGGCTGGTGGGTTCGAACTACTACTGCCAGATGCCTTAACCATTACACCACCAGAGCTCCTTCTGACGTAACATTAAAAAAAAAAAAAAAACCCATACTCACTGTTGAGTCGGATCTGACTGATAGCAACCCTTCTTTAGCTTTCTGAGGCAGTATCACTACAGAAGTAGATTGCCCAACCTTCCTTCCAAGGAGCAGCTCGTGGGTTTGAAGAAGTAAGATTAGCAGCAGTCCTTAAACACAAAGCTTTAATCTGGACTGTGTATACAGTACACTTGAGTCAGGATCATTCTAGAATGGAATTTTGCAATGTTTATTAGAGCCATCCATTTGTAAACTCCCTAGTATTAAAGAGTTTTAAAAAGCATCCTTAGACTTAACAATAAACTCCTTACTCTGTGACTGAATGGGAAATTCCTCTGTGCCCTCCATGCTTTACCCAATATAATGGGTAGTATGTGTACAGAGATGCATTATATCACGTTAAGCTATTTACTAAATAACAATTTTAGAAGTGGAAATAAATGAGAATAAGGGAAAAAAAAGTTATTTCTTTTTGAAAGTTAATTATCTTACTGAGCATTTAGTATATGTTGCCAATGTCATCTGCATTTTCTTCAGATTTCTGCTTCAGTAGAATGAATCCTAGCTCTGCTTTGCCTTGTGTGCTTTCCTTTTACAGTAATTGTCATTTCACCAGGTCTCCTTAGCAGCAGCACCTGGAATAACTGTTAAGGGATCTCCTAAATGAATTCTCAGAATTTTCTTCTTAATTCACCCAGTTGATTGAAGCACTTTTTTCCTTGAATGGTTTGCAGTTGCAATCAACTGGCTGATGTTTGGAGTCACTATTGAATGTTTTATTTGAATATCACTTTCGTGATGAATAGAAGGCAGCTGCTTTTAGCTATATGGGGTGAAGCCCTCTATGATAAGCTTTGAAAAGGAAAAAATTTTCTTTGTAGTGATAAGCTAAATGAATTTACTCTCTTTTGTTACTTTGTCCTTTTATCCTTTTCAGTCTGATAACCTCAAGTTCTTGTGATTTATTTGTTTTCTTCAATTAAATTTAGTTGTTTCCTGTACCCAGGTGCATGCTTTTTCCGCTGTTGGTCATGAAGGTGAGGTGGAGCATATTTCTGACCTGGAAGTGTGGTTTCTTTGACTCAAAACCACATCAGTGTGCCTTCATTCTCCACTTCCTTTGCATTATTTCCTTTTGGAGGGCTCATTTTGTTACCATTTAATCTAAGGATGATTCATCTGGGACTGACAGCTGGTAATACTATAATAACAATACTTTTTTTATATAATAATACTCATGTACTTAACATTTTACTCTTGCTGTCTTTATGAAGCACTTTCAATTTTAATCCCTCACAATAATCCTGTGGGTTAAGTCAACAATTTTGTCTATTTCTAAGATGGCAAAATTATAGCACCAAGAGGTTAAATAACTTCCTCATGGTTACAGTGCTTCTGCGTTACTCTGCTTCACTATTTTTACAGGAAATGAAGAATACTGCTGAAGATTATTCTGGATGAATAAGAAGGAATTTTCCAAACTGCCCTGGTTGTTAAAACCTAGCTGTTTTCAACTGGTCAGTTGATAAGACCAGGGTCAGAAGCTTATTAATTACAGTGCTAAAATTGATGCATTAAAGTCAAGAAAATAGATATTTAGGTTTAGTTTCTGTTCTACCACTGATGTGATAAAGTTAAGGAAGGCTAGCTCTTAAATTAGTGGAATTTGAACTGGAAGCAATTAAGCCATTAATTATTCTTGTATTTTCAATTTTCTCTTCCTTGCAGAGAGATGGAAAACTTGATGACTAGTTCCACCCTGCCACCCCTTTTTGCTGATGAAGATGGCTCAAAGGAAAGTAATGATCTGGCCACAACTGGGTAAGCAGCTGGTTGGGACACTGGGCCTCTGCATAGGGTTCAAAACAAAGCCTCTAACAAACTATGAGGTGCTGAAGAAGCAGTTTATGCCGTAAGAATAGTTTATGCTTTGCCAAGAGTAAGAGCCATTTGTAATTTATATTCAGCTGTTATTGCCAGTACTCTGTTGTTGTTGTTGTTATGTGCCGTCGAGTCGGCCCCAACTCATAGCGACCCCTCCTTGGGTTTCCAAGGCAGTATCACTACGGAAGTAGGATTGCCCAACCTTCCTTCCGAGGAGTGGCTGGTGGGTTTGAACCGCCAGCTGTCTGGGTTAGCAGGCAAGTGTCTTAGCCACTATGCTACCAGAGCCAGTACTCTAGTCCCTGTGAAAGGAGCCCTGGTGGTGCAGTGGATATATACATGGCCTCTAACTGAAGGGTTGGGAGTTCAAACCCACTGGCCACTCTGTAGCAGAAAGATGTGGCAGTCTGCATCGTTAAAGATTTACAGAGTTTGAAACCCTATGGAGCAGTTTTATTCTTTTCTGTAAGGTCGCTATGAGTTAGAATTGACTCCACAGCAGCAGGCTTCATCGGATTTTTATTCTTTGGCCATGGGTACAACATTTTATGAGATCTAACAAACATCTGTTACTTGCAGTTAAGAGAATCACATAGTCCCCATAAAGTAAATACCACCCAGAGAAGTAGTTCTGAAAAACAATATTTTCAAGTTGCTACAGATTTTAAAATATCTTTTGTTTCCCAAAGATCCAAGTTTTGAAATAATCAGATTATTTTGGTATTTATCCATGCTTAAGAGCTTTAACTGACTTTTGTTTTTTGTTTTGTTTGGTCTTTCTCCTTTTTTGAGGCTCCAAAAAAATATATAAAGGACTTAAACATATTAAAAAAAAAGGGGGGGGTTAATAATAGTCTGTCCCATCCCTTGAAAATCTTCGTTTTAGTTGAAGTTTTATTTTTTCTGCATATTTAGAAATTATTTGTCAAAGAATAAGCATATTCACTAGTACATTGAACTGGTAACCCCTAAGATGAATTATTTTAATATTCTTTAGAGCTCTTTAAAAAATAAACTATATTTTATAATTGTTTCCCTCCCTCACATTCATTTCTCACCTCATTAATATCGGCCTTCTAACCTCACTACTGAGATGAAACTATTCTCCATGACTTTTCTAAAGGCCACCTAGTTACTGGATTCATTCATTCAATAAAAAATTTGAGTATCTACTATGTGCTAGATATTGTTGTAGGCACTAATTAGGAAGCAGTGATCAAAACATAAAGATATAGGCTCCTCGAGAGTTCAGATTTTACTGAGAAAGTTAGACAATTAACAGGATAAATAAGTAAAATACATACTATGTTAGAAAGTGGTAAGAATTATTGGATTAAAAAGATTTCACCAAAAGAGTAAGAACCCACATACCAGGAAAAAATTTGTGACAACAGCATATCAGACAAGGTATTAATCTCTAAAATTTACCGAAAACTTCAGCACCTCAACCAAGACAAGATAAATAATCCAATTAAAAAATGGACAGAGGACATGAACAGACATTTCACCAAAGAAGACATCAAAGCAGCCAACAAACACATGAAGAAATGCTCACAGTCATTGGCCATTATCCACTCCACTACCATCAAGTCAACTCCAACCCATAGCGACCTTGTAGAACAGAGTAGAACTGCCCCCATATGACTTCAAACGCTATAAATCTTTACAGAAACAGACTGCTTCATCTTTTTCTCATGGAACAGTTGGTAGGTTCGAACTGTTGACCTTTTGGTTAGCAGCCAAGTGCTTTAGTCATTGCACTACCAGAGCTCCTTATTAGCCCTTAGAGAGATGGAAATTAAAACAAGATATCATTTCACCCCAGCATTAATAGCAAAGTTTAAAAAACAGCAACGAATGCTGGCAAGGGTATGGAGACACTGGAACCCTTATATACTGCTGGTAGGATTATAAAATGGTACAACCACTGTGGAAAACACTATGGTACTTCCTTAAAAAGTTGGAAATAGAAATACCTTATGATCCAGCAATCCCAATGAAAAGGATCACATTAGAGGATCTTAGATAGAATGGGAGAAAAATGTGGAACAAAACTCAATCATAAAAAAGACCAAGTTTTCTGGTTGGATAGAGACTGGTGGAATCCCCAAGAATATGGCCCTTAGTCACCTTCAGGCCTGGAACTGAACTTACCCTATGGCTCAGTTTTCAGCTAAATAATAGAGAGGTCTATAACGTGAACAATCATATGAGGGAAGTATGCACTTCTTAAAACAATCAACCATTTGAGATCAAAAGGGCAGCATTTGCCAAGGACAAAGTTCAGAAGGTGGGAAGTGGTAGGAAAGAAGGAGGAATGGAAACGGGAAACACAGGAAGGAAGTGGGATGAGTGTTACATTGTAGGGATTGCAATAATGACATGAAACAAAACATGTATGATAACTGAAACTTCATCATAAAAAGTTTAAGAAGAAAAAGTATTGGATTAAAAAAGAAAGCAGGAAAGGGACGTAGGAAAAGTTCAAGGGTGCAGTTTTAGACAGGATGGTGGAAAATCTTTAGTGAGAAAGTGACTTGAAGGGAATAAGGTACCTAGCATGCAAGTTATCTGAGGGAAGATTTTTTATTTTTTTAAATTTATATTGTGATTTGGATAAAAGTTTACAAAGCAAATTCATTTTCCATACAGCAGTTCATACGTATTTTGTTTCATAACACTGGCTGCAATTCCCCACAATGTAACAGCTCTCTTTCCACTTCCTCCCTATAATTACCTCTTCCCTGTGTCCTTCTTTCCTATGCATTCCTGCCCCTACTCCCCGAGCTGTCACACTGTGCAAATACTGCTCTTCTGTTCTCCCACAATTGATCTAAGGAGTGTATCTATCTGATGTAAATATTCACCCTATATGCTTATCCATTATTTGGCTGGAAATCACAGGACATACTTGATCATTCCAGACCTGAAGAATAACTAGGGGGCCATTGTCTCAGGGGTCTCACCAGGCTCTATCAGACCAGTAAACCTGGTCTTTTTTTTTATGATTTTGAGTTTTCGTTCAAAATTGTTTTCCCACTCTGTCCAGAATCTCCTGCACTGATCCCTTTCCAAGTGGTTGACAGTGGTAGCTGGGTGCCATCTAATTCTTGTGGTCTCATGGTCATATAGGCTGAGGATCACATGCTCTACTAGTCCCTTGGACTAATTGTTTCCATGAGTCTTTGGTTTTCTTCATTCTTCTTTGCTATAGATGAGGAAAGATCCATTGTTATATCTAGGTGCCGCTTGCAAACTTTTAAAACCCCAGTTGCTACTCACCAAGTAGGATGTAAAACAATGTTTTTGTGTAGTATGTTACACCATTTGAACTTGATATCCCCTGTAACCATGGTCCTGAGCACACAAGTCCAACTATTCGCTCCCTCAGGGTGGTTGGCTGTGGCCAAGGAGTTATCATAATACTGCCCCTTGTTAGCTCTATTATATATTTGGACATTCCTACAGAATACACAAATGCGTATGTAAAAATATCATCTGCCAAGCTTATATACGGTCGTGGGTATATTCCCTTTTGCCTAGACATACCTGATCATTCAGCCTGTCTATCCATCTATTTGCCCATAGATTAATGTTTGTTATCACTGACAACACAATATTGTATATGGAGAAGGGTTTATCTTTGTTGTCTGTACTTCTTGTGCACCTCTCTGTGTCTTCCTCTTCCTCAGTGCCACCGTGTTGATCACTCACTTTTGGTACATTGCCCTTCCCTTCACTATTTGTCTCTACCTATCTAGCAGTGTTCCCTCCCCTTCCCTGTCTCACTCACTGCTGTTGAGTCGGATCCGACTCATAGTGACCCTTCCTTGGGTTTCCGAGGCAGAGTTACTGTGGAAGTAGATTGCTCAGCCTTCCTTCCGAGGAGTGGCTGGTGGGTTTGAACTGCCAGCCTTCTGGTTAGCAGCCAAATGCCTTAGGCACTACGCTACCAGATCACCTCCCCTTCCGTCTGGGGGAAGATTACTCTAGGCAAAAGATTATTCTAGTGCAGAAGCCTTGAGACAGGAGTGTTTCTGCCTTGTAGAAATAACCAGGAGGCTAGTGTGGCTTGGAGCACAGTATACAAGGGCAAGGGGTAATGGAGGGCTACATAAATTCTTCTTAGACTTTAATGTGCTTATGAATTACCTGTAGATCTTATTATAATGAAGATTATGATTCAGAAGTTCTGAGGGAGGTCTAGAAATTCTACATTTCTAACAAGCTCATAGGTGATTCCAATGCTGCTGATGTAAAGCCCATACTTTGAGTACCAAGATAATGTAGGCCCTTTTGAGTCAGAGTAAGCACTTTGATTTTTACCCTGAGTGAGGTGGAAAAATGTTTTGAGTATTTTCAGCTGAGTAATATGATACTATTTATGTTGAGAATATAGTAAAAGGATCAGGGGCTAAAGCAAGGAGACCAGTTAGGAGGCTCTTGAAGTAATTCAGGTGAGAAATGATGACCTGAAGACCATCATTAGTGACTTTGACAGGAGTACTTTTGGTGGAGGAAAGCAAATAACCCACAGCCATCAAGTTGATTCTGACTCATAGCAACCCCCATTGGGTTTCTGAGGTGGTAAATCTTTATGGAAATAGATTGCCCAGTCTTCCTTCCATGGAGTGGCTGGTGAGTTTGAACCGCCAGCTAATGCAGTCAGATGCTTTACACACCACCAGGGGTTGTTGTTGTTGTTGTTGTTGTTGTTAAGTGCCATTGAGTCGTTTCCGACTCATAGCGACCCCATGCACAGCAGAACGAAACACTGCCCGATCCCACGCCAGCCCCATAATCCCTGCTATACTTGAGCCCACATTGCAGCCACGGTGTCAATCCATCTCGTTGAAGGCCTCCCCCTCTTTCGTCGAC